TTAGACTTTCGCCCCAGCACCCCAAAGACATCACACCCCACAGGTTGATGCAAGGCCTTCTACTTGCGTAAGAGTTGAGGTGTACCTAGACCCTCAAAATGTAGGTAAAATAATGGCCCCAAACCTATAAAAGGCTATTATTCTAATTACATACTTTTGGGGTCCAGGAAGGGTTTAGGTATGGATTTATCCCCCTTAACCCTTAACCCTAAATCTGGGGAGGGGCTCAGGCTGCGCTCCGAGTCCGATGAAATGCCAGATTCCGACCCCCACGACTTCATAAGTTGTCCTTTAAGCCCTTTGAAAATTATTTACTATTATGGTTCTCTACAAAAGAGAAGGGGAACTTAAAAGAGATCCCAAAGGACAACCCAACTTCATAAGGGGTTAGGTTTTAAGCCTTTGTTCAGTTGTTCAGCTGTGGGCTTGTGGGGCATGGCTTCCGTTGGGGGAGCGTCGAGCTGTGGCTGGAGTGGTCAAGGTAGCCGAGAAAGTTGCTTGGAGCATGAGGTCGGTCCTACTAAAGTGCTAATGGCGACGATCCTGGTGATGATAATGCTGTCGGTGGTGATGCAGGCGGTCGTTGCGGTCGTTCCCCCCCCCTCCTAGCAGCCAGCATCAAGGTTATCATCAACGACAGCCTCACCAATAATCATGGCCATAACCACCATCTTCTCTATCGGCATCATCACCCATCATTCTTCTGGATGAAGACGGGTGCGGCGGCAACGATCATGATAACACCCACTATGTCGAGCAAGGCGGAACAGATGATGCTAAGTTGGGGACCACAAGGAGGCGAGGGACGATAATGCTGGTGGTGGCGGTGCTGCTGTTGCTGCTGCTGCGGGTCGTGGTGGCGGTGACACTGGTGACTGTGTACTGATGGAAGGGCACGTCATGACGATGAAGCAACACTACAAATTTCATGATGATGAGTATGGTTGTCGTCGATGTCATCGCCATGGATTCGATGAGTGAAAACTAAGGCGATGTCGATGACAGTCATGACTGTAACGGCAGTTGGTGACGATGATGGCGCCGATGGAGATGGTCATGGTGATGCTGCTTCTGATGATGATGTCAGTTCTTCGGACACACGGTTTAATGTATGGCTCCTCAACTCTCAAACGTCGAAACCCTAAACCCTAAACCCCTAAACCCTAAACCCTAACCCTTAACGCTTCAGACATGCCCGCTTGAAGTTGGCGATGATGAGAGCCGCCGGACGCAGGGTCTTGTCTACGGCAAGGCATTGCTGCACTGTGTACCTTCCAGTGGGTTTCTCTCGGGACAGGCTTTTGTCCGAGGGTACTTGGAGGTTCATGGGTAGTTATAAGGGCCCCTTTCAAGGGAAAAATAGAGATTCTACAAGGGTATAGGGATGTAGGGTTTAGGGTAGTTACTCTAATAGGGGTTATAAGTATAGTTATTACCCTACTTCTAACCCCAGTTCTAACTACCCATGAACCTCCATGTATGGGGTTCGGGGCTTAAGAATTTGGGCTTCGCCGGCTTAAGGCCGCTAGCCCAGGCAGCATATCGATCGTCTCGTAGCAAGTAAGGTATTCGGTCTGTTTCCAAGACAGTATTGCCGGTCACCGCACAGCCTGTAGAGTCGAATCCAAGACATGGACCTCTAGTTGTTGGAACACACATTCCTTGACAAGACTTGGAAGACGGCCAGGGGGGTGGGAGCGGGGGTCAGCAACAACAGCCGAGTGCTGAGGGTTTAAGGCAGATGCTGTGCAGGAAGATCCACAAGCGGAGGACCCCTGATGCTTAAATCTCCGGGAAGGCCAAGGTGTCTAAGATCCCGATTGTGGTACAAAAATGAAAGTACAAAACGTACAACCCGAAATGCCTTTCCAAGCACCATGGAAAACTAATCAGGCTGCTGCTGGGACTCTGGGATACATGTTTTAGTTTGTTGGGAGGGAATGCTGAGACGAACCCCCTAAGTGCTTGTCGTTAAAGTTTCAGCTGCGTTGCTCGTCTTAGTTTGCTCCTATGGTTGCTGGTACAAAAAACCCTAAAACGTGAAGGGTGCCAAAGAGACACACAACAAGAAAGAAGCTCTCCCCACTGCTGCGTTAGGGGGATCAGAATTTTGGTTTAGTGCTTACCCGTAGGCCCCATAGTAGTTCCCTTGTCGGGGTTCATGTTTAGAATTCTGTCAGGTAATCCCAACAAGGAACTGCTATGGGGCCTATGGGTAGGGTTTCCGGTCTAGGGCGCGGAGTGGAAATGTGAGTTTAGGGTGCTGCGTCTGGGACCTCGTGTCTAAGCGTGTGTCTATCGTGGTCGGGGGTTGTGAAGATGTCACCAAAACAACACTCTACAGTCTAATATAGAGGCCTTAATAATTAGACTAGGGTTCGGGGGTATACTATACTATACGTATAATAAGGAACCCCCGCAACAGTATACATGGGTAATTGTTGAGGCCTCTATATCACACCCTAAACCCAGAGTGATTGGACATCAGGGACCCCGGCTCTGCGCAGACTCACCCAAGCAAACACTCAAACTCCCAAAAACCTCGAAAAGCATATTCTGCTGTATTGTACGGCTTAGGCTTTACCTAGATCCCCCAACTACCCTCTATTATGCCCCAAACACCCACTATTGGGGATGATAGGGGCTCTATTGAAAGGGCCTTGGGAGGCCCTGGTAGGGTGCAGGGTCTATTACCGCCCGAAGCAGCCTCAAGTTCTCTGTCGCGGGACTTATAGGAGTGACGGGATTCAGGGTTTAGGGTTTAGGACTTTAGGGTTATTTAGGGTTTAGGGTTTGGGTTAGGGTTTAGGGTTTAGGGTTTAGGGTTTGGGTTTTCTTTTTTTGGTTAGGGTTCAGGGTTTAGGGTTTTGGGTTTGGGTTTCGGGGGATCAGGGGTACCCTCTGGGAATATCGACCCTTTTACAAAGGTCCCTGTTTCGAGAGACAGAAGTAGGGTTCAGAAGGGTCCCCTTTGATGGGTGTCCCTAATACTACCTAGGAGTTCAACGCCCAAGAAGCATGAAGCAAGAAGAACTACCTAAGCAATACACCTTCAGCTCAACAGCAACGCTGATGTAGTGACGTTTAGGGTTTAGGGTTTAGGGGTTTAGGGTCCTGATTAATAACCCCCTTTCCATAGGCATTTTGGAGCAGTTGTGATCCATTCGAAAGCAGGAGGGTCTGCTAATCGGGGGGGGGGGGTATGCAATATTCTATTCTTCAACCTCAGTCAGCCCTCACCCCGACCCTAGGGTTTAGGGTTTAGGGTTTAGGGACTGTAGGAGCCCCCCAAAATTAGTTACCAACACTATTTTGGGTGGTCTCTATTCTAATTATAGTAAAATATATCCCAGAAACCCTACTCGAATTATTCAGGCCCCCGATACTGGGTTGGCCTAAACCCCCTGAAAAATATCTATATATAGGGCCCCTTATAAACACAAATAAGGAAAATAAAAAATGTCCCAAAATCCAACCCAGGATAGTACTGTTGTCTATAATCGCAGCCCCGAGCCGAGCCAAGGGACGACCCACAAACTCCCACATATGGGTAGTTGTCAAAATACTAAAGGGAACTCCAGAAAGTTGGAATATGGATTAATGGTAGGATCCCCTATAATTTACCTTAAAGGGGTTACGATAATGATATTCCAACTTTCTGGCTTCTACTGTAAAGGTACTTTATAGGAACCCCATCAAGGGATCTACTTTTTGGATCCTCCCGGGGGTCTGGGTCGAGGGTTTCCATAATTAGTGATGTAGATAGTTGTCAAAATTAAGGTACCTCTCTGGGTACCCTAAAGTAATGGGTGCCGTAGTGTACTAGGGACCCCAAAAAGGGACCATAATCTTGACAACCACCCAAATAAAGTCAGGATCCACTAAACTCTAAATCCTGATCCCGCACCTCTTGTTCCCTTCCTTGACGGACCCTCGAAGTTCGAAAATTTTGGTGTTTTTTTGATAATTCCATCGCATAAAGAGGCAGCTTGCTTGGACTTCAGACACCCTACAGACTTAACTTCTAACATCGGGACCTGAAAAATTACCTGTACTATTTCGGTGGGTTCCTGATTATAGTCACAGTGATTAGTATACGCCAAAACCCTACTCCAACTATCTAGGCCCTCCAAAAGAGTAGAGCCTAAGCCCAATGCTCTCGAAACACCCCAATTCCAAAACCCCTATAGCCTGCGAACTTCTGCCACACCCTAAACCCGAATTAAAACCAAAACCCTAAAACCCTAAAGCCTGGACCCTGAAGTTTAGGGTTTAGGCTTTAGGGTTTTAGTTTAGGCTTTAGGGTTTTAGGGTTTAGGTTTTAGGCCCTAAACCCAATGCTCTTGAAGTTCAAGCTGCTTGCATTCCTCCGACAGCGCTTTCCAGTCCGGACCCGTACAGGAGACGGGGATTCCCTGAACGGCGTTGCCTTGGCTTTCTTACAGGGTCCTCAAGGGAGGGTAGTTCAAGGGCGGAGGGTACAAGGGATTATTAGCGAATCTTGGAACCTTAGGGAGCACTGGAGAGAAGTAGGGAATAGTAGGTCATCTACGCCCTTGCCCCCCCCCCATAAGGATAGGATACTATGACTTTCGGAGGTCGGGAACTTGATGGGAGTTAAACCCTAAACCCTAAAACCCTGAACCCTGAACCCTAGGCTTTAGGCTTTGGAACAAGACAGGGGTGTTATGAGGGCTCCACAGCCGTGTCCTCGGCATGAAGCCTTGGTACAGTATTTGGGCTTACCTTGACCCTATAAGACCATCCCTTTTAGGGTTCGTTAATATGGTTTATTTATATAAGTCCTCAGAAAGATAGGTTCCTTAGGGTTAAGGTAGGCCCCTGTGCAGCTTTGGTTTCCTATGCCCTCAAGTATTATGTTGAGGGCGTAAGGTACAAGTCCTTCCAACCCTAAAGACTACTACAAGTTTTCAGACCGCTTGGTTCAACCACAATGGCTGGACCGACAAATCCACACGATTCGCCAACAGAGATTGTCTCTATTCTGCATGTGGTACCCAAAAGCACTTCGCCAAGGCACAGAAATCTGAAAACTTTGCATAATCGTGCATACGACGTGGAAGCTGACCTATCACCATCAGGTGCAGGCACAGACCTCGGCAGGCGGGTTTGCAGATTGAGTTTAGGTCTAGAGCTTCCTTTGCACTAAGTTCCCCCAAACTCTTACACCTAAATCATCCTACATCCTGAGCTCGGAACCCTAAACCCTAAACCATCTGCCTCAGCTTAGGCCTCCGGCCTAGGCCCCAAACGTCGTGCTTCTCCGAAGGAGACTCGCCGGCCAGGACCTCAGGGGCTGCATATATCTACCATCCTATTTTGGGTCCCGATACTTGGAGGTTATGGGTAGCTAAAGTAGGGTTTCTAAGTCCCCTGATAGGGCTTATAACTATAGTTACCCTACTTATAACCCCACTTATAAATACCCATGAACCTCCAAGTAGTTCTCATATACTCTCCAAACTAGTAACCTACATAACGACTACTGCATCCTAAACCCAAATACCCAGTTATTGGATCCTTTGGACCCTTGCGTATACGATCCAAAATAGTAACCTACACAACTACTATCCTAAACCCAAATACCCAATCCTTTATCCTAAACCCAAACCCTGAACCCTATTGGGGAAAGCCGCCTCAGGAGCAGCATACTCCAGAGTGCCAGTCATGGTCAGCGAGCCGCCCTCGCGAAGAGACCTCTGTGGTTTCCGGCTCTGGGCCTCTAACCCATATGGGCACTAGTTGTCAAAGTTAGGATCCGTGTTTGGGTACCCTAAATACTAGGTGCCGTATTATAATAGGGACCCAAAAAGGGACCACAATTTTTTGACAACCACCCATACGACGACCTATAAACTATAAACCCTAACAAGAAGCTTGAGAAACACTCCACAAATCCTTTAAGAAACCTCAGAAAATCCCTGTAGAACCGCGAGGAAACCCTATACAACTCGATCTGATGTTGGGTCTGATGTTCCCCACCTCGATGCATTGAAGTCTGTCAAGTGAAGTGTCTCCAAGTCCGAGGACACCTTGGCTATCAGACCCCCAACTCACCCTAAAGTCTTGTCGGTTTTTGGGAGGGGTTTAGGTTTTAGGGTTTAGGGTTTAGGACTCGCTGAAAACGTTGAAGCATTCTTGATTCTCTGAACCAGGGTGGAGCTAAGCGAGAACCAGCATAATTACTTGAGGTTCCGGAGATAACCTTAGCCAAAAATGCAGACCCCTGGTCAATAAGCACGGGGACGAAATTTCAGGATCCTTACTATACTCTCTACTGAGAGGCTTGTGTCTTCAGTATCTGCCAACCACAGAAACAATCTAAAGAAACAAACAAGACCAAACGCCAGGTTTAGGAACTAAACTTTAGGGTTTACCTTAACCCTGAATAACCTATATACTTTTTAGGGATCCTTATTATGATTTCCTTATTAAAAGGTAGGTTATTCAGGGTTAAGGTAGGGTTTAGGATTTAAATTTAGGGCTTAGGTTGATTAGAAGCCCTCCATCCTGAACCCTAACCCCTAAACCCTAAACAGGCCTGACCTACGCTAGACCCACGCATCTCCAAATCCCTAGGCCCTGACAAGCCTACGACCGAGCATGGACCCTAATGACAGAGCCTACTTGGAGGTTGATGGGTAGTTATAAGTAGGGTTATAAGTCCCCTAATAGGGCTTTTTAACCATAGTTACCCTACTTATAACTTATCCTACTTATAACTTATAACCCCACTTATAACCACACAGGAACCTCCAAGTACCTTCACCAGATGGCTCCCAACTTCATAACTTTCAGTATATAAGGCTCAACAGAAGAACAAAGATCATTGCAGTAACCCGTAGCAAAATCCGACCTTGGGACAAGTTAAGCCCCATGCCCGAATAAACTCGCGTGCCTGAGCCAGCCTTAAACCCTAAACCTTCATGCCTTAAATGTCATAGGCCCTATGTATCCCTGACAACTGCAAAGCACAAGGCAGAAGCCCTAAACCCTAAACCGCAAACCCTCTTCCGAGGGACTAGAATGTTCTCCGGCTTGATATCGCGGTGCAGGATACGCGCAGCGTGAAGGTAGACTACAGCACTGACCAGTTGGCGAAAAAGACCTCGGGCAGCGCAGTGCCCCCGAATGTTTCGGTATGGGTTTTGAGGCTTACAGAGGAGACGGATTGCTGACCGAGGGTCCCCTGATTCAGATTTCCTAGGATACTCAGTAACCTAAGAATAAAAAGGCCTCTCTTTTTGGTATTGGGTAACTTTATAAGGAACCTAGGACTACAAAAAGGGAAAAAGGGTAATTACTACTGGGCATCCTAGTTTCTTTAAAAGCGTCTACTTAGGGTCTAAATCCAGATCATAGTCACTGGTTTCTCCTACAGGATGTTGAGGTTTTAGAAACACCATACAGGAGTTACGTAGGAACTGCATCACCGCAAACTTAAGGGCTAAGTACCCTAGCCCAAAACAGGCTAATCAACCAGTGTAGGATTTGGCAAACCCCAAAAGCTGAAAGGCTACCTACTCAGATACTAAGCCAAGGAGCTTTGCGCCACTGGTTCAGCGAAACGCCCTTCAAGCGAATGCCTGACCTTTTTTGTTCAGCTTCTGTTCGACCAACAACACAAGCTGTTAGGGTTCAACCACTCTAGCTACAACAAAACTAAACGCTTCCTACTGGACCTAGCCTGAACTTTATACAACCCCCTATCCTAAACTCCGAAGCCTAAGCCCTAAACCTCTCCTAAAGCGGACTGTACCAAGTGACTGCACCATGAAGGGTGCTACCTGGATGGTAGCTTAAAACGAGCACCGCCGAAGTCTGCATGTGCACGAATTCGATGGCCTGAACGAGATTCCTCAGCTGAGTGTGCTTGTGGTTTAGGGTTTAGGGGTTTAGGGTTTTGGGCTTAGGGTTTAGGGTTTAGGGTTTAGGGGTTTAGGGCTACAGTATAGGCTTTACGCTCCTGGTAGCTGAAGAGTTACAACGGATTACACTTCCTGGCAGCCCTACACCCTAAACCGCTATGGAAAGAAGACAAAACCCTGAGTAAAATGCAAGCTGGCGCCTTCGACAACCGGAGCCCTACTCTTAAGGTCTACATTCCTTAGTTGCTGAGTTCATAAGCCCCCCAAAGTGTACACTTTCATTTTTGTACTGGCTAATTGTATCCCAAAAGTATAAAGTCTATCCACTCAGCTACTAAAATTCTGAAGGCCTTAGATGAACCCTGAAAGCAACTGTTCAGGGTTTAGGGTTCGGGTTTGGGTTACATCTAAAGAAACCTTGCCGAACCCTGAAGCACCCTCGAAGAATCTGATCAGAAACAGGAAAGCCGCCACAGAAGCGCATACAGCTAATATTGGGGCCTCAATAATTGGAACCGGGTCCTTGGGCGTATCAGAAGCTAATGTAGGAACCTGATTAAGAAACCTTGGGCCTTTACTAGGGTTCGTAATATGAATCCTACTATTCTGGGGTTATAGGCCCAGGGTTCCTTAATCAGGTTCCTACATCATCTTCGAGTTTAAGGAACCCCTTTGGGGAGTTGGAAGCTCTGTAACCATACAAAAACATATTGTATGTATGAGTCTCCATCAGAAAGAGATTTCAACCTCTGTAGCAGAACAAATTGTTCTGAGAGTCGGATGCTTCAGATCCCTCAGCAACTCGAACTCATTCCGGCGGTTGCGCACCTGAGTCTCACAAGTCATGCCCTCACCCCTAAACCTACAAACCCTTAACATAAGCCCTAAATCCTAAACCTGCAATGTTAAACCCAAAACATCAAGCCCTAACCCCTAAACCCCAAACCCTAACCAAACCCTGAACCTTACACCCTAAGCCCAAAACCCGCTGAAGCCCAATGCCAGTCCCGGGCCTCTGACCCCGGTGGGGTTTGTCCGGGTGGCTGTGTGCGGCCTGCGGCCCTTTTTAACCCCAGAGGCTTAGGTTTTAGGGTTTAGGGTGTTAGCATTCAGGGTTTCGGGTTGTAGGGTTTAGGGTTTCGCGGGTTGGGGTTCAAGACCTTCAACCCTAAACTTAAAGCCCGAAACTAGAAACCCTAAACTTGAACCCCAAAACTAGAAACCCTAAACTCAAAGCCCAAACCTAGAAACCCTAAACTTAAATCCCAAAACTAGAATCTGTGCGACCGAGGCACTAGCTCCTCATCGGCAGCCTCCATCCACTTCATAGCGACTTCGCGGCCATCCTTCCGTGACTCAAAGGGGAAAAGGAGGGACCCTTAATGGGGACCCCTATCCTATAATGGGCTATATAATGGGTATATACCGAGGGGTCCTTATTAAGGGTCCCTCGTTTTATCCTTGGAGTGAATACCCGACCCCAACCCTACATCCTACATATGGGAGTTTCCGTAAATAAGGGTACAATATTATTTTGGGGTCCTTATAACAAGGATCCTACTATTTAGGGTACCATAATTGGGTCCCCTCTTTTTGGAAACTCACATATACCCTGAACCTTAAACCCAATGTAGGCCCGAAGCCCTAAACCCTCAAAGACACGCAAAATCAAGGCCCGACTACCTATCTATCTACCTATCTATCCATATCTATGTATATATATATGTATATACATATATATATATATATATATATGATGATGATGACATGGTTGTCCAGTAATATCGATTCTGTACTAGGTTTTATCAGACTCCCCCCGAAACCCCTAAAGCCTAAACCCCTAAACCCTAAAGCCGCCTAAAGCCCTGAACCTTAAACCCCTAAACCCCTAAACCCTAAACCCCGAAACCCTAAAGCCCTGAACCCTGCAGCCCTAAACCCCTACAGCCTAAAGCCCTAAACCCCAAAACCCTAAACCCCTAAACCCTAAAGCCCTAAACCCGTAAACCCTAAACCCTAACCCCTAAACCCTAAAGCCCTAAACCCGTAAATCCTAAACCCTAACCCCGTAAACCCTAAACCCTAAACCCCGAAACCCTAAAGCCCTAAACCCCTAAAGCCCTAAACCCTAAAGCCCAAAACCCTAAAGCCCTAAACCCCTAAACCCTCAAGCTCTAAACCCTAAAGCTTTAAACCCCCAAAGCGTCCTTCTTCCGGCGGGCACGGAAGACACGGGCAGAGGATCCCTGGCCAATCATCTCCAGCACTTCATAGTTCTTCTTCCTGGGTCTCTAAGGGTTCTATCAGGGTACTAGAGGGTTTAGGGGTTTCTAAGGGTTCTTTAAGGGTACTACAGGGTGTATGTGTTTCTAAGGGCTCTATAAAGGTAGTATAGGGTTTATGGGTTTCTAAGGGTTCTATAAGGGTAGTATAGGGTTTAGGGGTTTCTAAGGGTTCTATAAGGGTAATAGAGGGTTTATGGGTCTCTAGAGGTTCTATAAGGGTCCCGCGCCCCCAAGCCCTACTTAAAAGATCATGGGACTTAGAACTAAGGTTATAATCAGGGTAGCTATAATACTTATTACTACTTATAACCCCAATTAAGGTACTTATAACCTTACTTACTAAGTCCCATGATCCTTTAACTAAGGCTTCTATAAGGGTACTATAAGGTTTAGGGTCAGATTTAGGATAGTTCTTCTTCCTGTGGGCTTCAAAATTTCATAGTAGAACCCAGAAAGTTGGAACATTGGTATCCTCATGCCCTCAGGGTGAAGTATAAGGGATTGTAGCACTAATCCTCCTAAACCCATGTTCCAACTTTCTGGCGTTCACTAGAAAAGTTTCGGGCTTAGGGCATTTCTTCTTCCTGGGGCTTCACGGGCTTAGGTTTTAGGGTTGCAGGCGTTTCGGGTCTGGGGTTTAGGGTATGGAGTTTAGAGATTGGGGTTTAGGGTTTAGGGTAGTTCTTCTTCCTGAAGAGTCTCGGGTTTAGGGTTTGGGGTTTGGGGTTCCTTTCAGGGCTCCTGTGAACTCTATGGGTTCTATAAGGGTACGAGAGGCTTTAGTGTCTGATCTCGGATAGTTCTTCTTCCTAGGGTTTCAGGGCCCATTCGGGTTAGTGGTTTCAAGGCCCAAGCCCCTAAACCCTAAAACTTTGGGTCCTTAAGGGTTTAGGGGTAGTAGGTCTAACATGATCTCCAATTTCGTAGTTTCGTATCGCAGGGATTATTATGGCTAGAGGTCTTCTTTCGGGTTCAAAGGTTTGGGTTCGGAGTTGAAGGTCTAAGCAACCCGTTTGTGCTTGGGTTTTCAGCGGGCTCTTATCGGGCTAATCTCAGCTCCTTGTCGGGCTTTGACGACACTCTTGTTGCGTGTTATGAAAAGAACTACACTATGCTCTTCCGTTTCGTGGCAGTAAAGAGGTTCAGAGTTAAAGCTGAGGAGCTTCGTTCTTGTTCCTTCCTTTGTCTTCTGAAGGGTCTCGACTGAGAAGCTTATTCCAGAAGCTGAAACGTTGGAACATTCCTACCCTCATGCCCTTAAAGAAAAGCAATAGGAAACCTAGCACGAATCATCCCATGCCTGAGCCCATCACATTGAATCCCAAACCCTATAAGCCCTTAACCTCAAAAAAACACAAAACCCAGCACCCTTTACCATAAAATCTTTAAACCCGGTGTCATCAAACCCTAAACCCCTGAAATCCCAATCCTTCAACCCTACAAAGTCCCAAAACCCAAAGGCCAAGCTGCATTACGCTAAAGACCAAGACTATGGGAATTATGGTACACTCCTTATGATGGATAATGCAGGGCATATATCATCAACCGTAACACCAAATGGCCAAGCTGCAGATCCCCTGCTGAGGCTTCTTCAGTTGGCGATACTCGCCTCAGCTGTCTTTCACCATCTCTTGTCTTGACAGCTTAGCGCTTAGTTTAGTGTCCCTTGAAGGGGATCCTTCAAAAGATCCTTTCAAGGAGCCGCTAATGGTGTAGGGCCAGTGGAGTTTTAAGGTTTAGGGTTTGAGGCTTTAGGGTTTAGGGTCTCAGGAATTAAGGTGTAAAGTAAAAGCCAGAAAGTTGGAATATGATTATCCTAAACCCTTTATGGTCAATTATAAGGTATCCTACCCTAAAACCATATTCCAACTTCCTGGAGTTCCCTTTATAGGGGTCGGGTATTGGAGCGAGCAGTTTTGGGGATCTTGGCGCTGGAGCTCTCGAAATAGGAAAGAAGGGTCTGAGGGCTTAGGGCTTCTCCGGGCTTTGTGGCTCCAGTTCCTCTACTTGGAGGTTCATGGGTGGTTATAAGTAGGGTTATAAGTCCCCTAATAGGGCTTATAACTATAGTTACCCTACTTATAGCCCCACTTATAACTACCCATGGACCTCCAAGTAGGAGAACAACAGTCCATGTTGCTTCAGCAGGTGTCAAAGTGAATGCAGGGGCCTTCACAGTCAATGGAAACAGGGTTTGGGGAATGACAGATGGATTCGAATACCAGGCTTGTTGATGGTAGCATCAGAGGAGATTCCCAAGGAGCAAGTCAGCCGTCGATTTAGGAACCCAGCGCCCAAGAGGGCAAGGCGGGCTATTGTAGGAGCCTACCCTAAACCCCAAACAGTATCTGCTGATTATTTGGCGAATGATTACTAAGTCCCCAAAACCCCTAGATCCTGCACCCTACTTCTTCCCACTAGTGAGCCCATCAGGGCCCAGAAGCCTAGAGGCATATCCCCAAATCTTAAACCTTTACCGGGTTAGGGTTTAGGATTTAAGGTTTAGGGCTTAAGGTCCCAAATCCTAAACCCGACTCTACCAACTCAAAGGCACCAGCCCGTCAGTGACAACTTCGGCAGTGACTCCCTGCCTTTCAAAAGGGCAGAATGCTTTGTGACTTGAGGGTGGGGCTTTACAGCCCTAAACCCTAAACCCTAAACCCTAAACCCTGAACCCTAGCATGGAGTTTGAGGTTCGCATCTTTGAGACCGGAACGTGAGGCTGTGAGGCTGGGGAGTTGAGGACCGTAGGGCTTGGGGCAGTGTTTCGGGTAGAGCACGGTTTAGGGTTTAGGGTTTAGGGTTTAGAGCACACAGGATGTAGGACGTAACCGTGGGATTTCGGGGTCTGGAATTCGGGTTCAGGCTTATCAATGACCCTAAACTCTAAAACCCAAATGCCAAACCCTGAAGGGTTCTCGAAAGGATCCCTTACAAGAACTCTCAAAGGAACCCTCAGGGTTAGCTTTAGGCCTGGGGTTCAGCTCTTGGCTTTGGAACTTAGGCTTAAGAGTTCAGGCGTTCTTGGTTTTGGGGTCCTGGGGTTAGGAGGGTGAGGGCTCGAGTTTGTGGCTTGGGATCTGAGGTGTGAGAGTGCTCTTGCTGTAGGTTTAGGGTTTAGGCGCAAGGCTTCCTGGCTACAAGGTTCAGGCTTGAAAACTGTACCCTAAACTCAAGCCCAAAGGGTCCAAGTAAATAGCACAGTATATACTTTGGGAGGTCCAAATACGTTCTAAGTAGCTACTATGTTGGTCCTTGGACCCTTTGGGAAGTAAGGTCCTAAACCCTAAACCCCTAAACCCTAAGCCCTAAACCGTCAAAAGCTTCAGGTCTCAGGCCTCGTCGGCTCCAAAGCGAAGCCTTCGCCAGCTTCATGGCAAGGCCAAGAGAGATGCGACAGTGCAAACAGCGCCGTTAAAGGGCAGTTAAGGCTTATGGCATGAAGTGGCTGGGGTGTAGGTTTAAGGGGAAGTAGCGCATTCAGGAAGTGGGGCCTACTGCTTCCCTCAGCACTACGACAGACGTTCGACGTGTCTCACTTCTGTGTCGAAGTCTAGGTAAACAGTTGGAGGACGCACCAAAAAAAAGGGAAAGTTGCTGTGTGTTCGGGCGCCCCTAGCGTCCCTCCTTACTCCTCAACTCTAAATCCAGCAGCTTCTGAAGCATAACGGCCCGGGCCCGAAAATCAGATCGAATGCAGAAACCGATGCTTCTCTGCACGATTCCACGTGTGTTCTTGCTTTAACAAAAACAAAGACACAAACAAACCACCAAACACACAATGCAACAAACATACAACGAAGTATACATGCAAATCTATGTGCATGATACATGCGCGTCTAGCTACAACATACGGAATTATGTTACGTGTTGCTCTACAGGTGCAAGCTATGTACATTGGAACGAAATGTGTTACGTTACATTCAAAGTTTTCACATGATATGATATGAGATGATGGTATTGTATGATGTAATGCCATGGTACAATATGCTAAGCTAGTATATCTTACCAGAATGAACTCTATTGAGTTGTGCGGCACTGTTGTAGTGTAGCACAATACAATCTGGTATAATGTAGTATCGTATACTGAAGTAGAGTTTCCTATTGTATCATGGTCAAGTAGTGTGCTATGGTACGGCACGATACCTGTGGGTATGGTATGATATGGCATGGCGTGGTATGGTCTGGTATGGTATGGTTTTAACTAGTATACATATGCCAGGCCATGTAGACAAAAAAGTTAAAGTGTATGTGGATAAACTGTATGCATGTATGAATGCATGTATGTATGTATGTATGTATGTACATGTATACACAATATATGCATTTGTATTGTGCAGGTATTTGTATGTTACATGTTGCTTGCGTTCGTGCATGTGTGCACACCCTTGCATGCAAGCACCCCATCTCTTCTTAGCTCTCTTCGTCTCTCTAAACCCTACGTAAACCCTAAATCCCAAAACTCTGACCCTAAGGGTCCAAGTAATCCTTCTATATATATATATATATCCCAAAAGTCCTATAATATTGAGTACTTGGACCCCAGAAAAAGCCCAAAAGTCCTATGATATTGGCTACTTGGACCCCTAATCAGGGCGCGCCCTAAAGCCTAAACCCCTAAACCCTAAACCGTACTTGGAGCCCTAGGGCGAACCCTACTTGAAGGATCATGGGGCTTAGTAGCTAGAGTTATAATTCGGGTAACTGTACTTATAACTACTTACAACCCCAATTAAGGTACTTATAACCTTACTTACTAAGTCCCATGATCCTTTAACTAAGGCTTCTATAAGGGTATTATCAGGTTTAGGGTCAGATTTAGGATAGTTTCTCTTCCTGGGGCTTCAAGCCCTAAACCGTACTTGGACCCCTAGGGCGAACCCTAAGCATACGCCGGCCTTTGAGTCGTCCGGCTGGGTGTCAGACACCTGCGCTGAGGCGGCAAGTCAGGGTGTACTTGGAGGTTCTGATGGGTAGATATAAGTTATTCCTTTAAGGGTCCCTTTAAAGGGATCTATAGGGATTCTATAAGGGTTTAGGGTTTAGGGTATACTTGGAGGTTCATGGGCAGTTATAACTGGGGTTATAAGTAGGGTGACTATGCTGTAAGCCCTGTTAGGCGACTTGTACCCCGAGTTATAACTCCCCATGAACCTCCAAGTAGGGTTTCAGGGGTGCTGGGTCAGACCTTGAAGATTCAAGCCTTTTAAGGGCTTATGGTGTAGTGGTGTGTAGGGTGGAGCTACGTCGAGCTCCTACATTTCAGAATCCTGAGACGACAAAGCTCGGCGATTAAGAATTAGGTAGGTCTGCAACTAGAGCTAGGAGTTTACGATGTAGGGCCTAAAGTAAAAGCCAGAAAGTTGGAATATGGATTAATGGTAGGATCCCCTATAATTTACCATAAAGGGAATATGCTAATGATATTCCAACTTTCTGGCTTCTACTGTACGGCTCCGGGATATAGGTAAGGCTGCAATCAGACCTAGAATTTGCAGGAGCTAGAACTGCCAGGTCTCGAATCTGAAATAGTATAGTAGGATCCTTTAAAGGGTTCATTAAAGGGATCTATAAGGGTTCTATAAAGGGTTTAGGGTTTAGAGTTTCCGAAAATAGGGGACCCAAATATAGTACCCTAACTAGTAGGATCCTTACTATAAGGACCCCCCAAATAAGGTACCCCTGATTTTCGGAAACCCCACATAAGCTGGACACCCCACCCAGGCTCTGAGTAAAGTGCTTTCCTATGCAATCATAATACTTCCTGTGCCCAACCCAGAGAGCCCAATACCCCTTAATTTAATAAGCCTGGAAGTAAGGGCCTAGTATCTCTATATTATCAATATTATCCAACTGTTAGGGCTTCGGAACCCCAGAGAGCCCAATACCCCTTAATTAATGAATATACCTTAAATCATAATATTAAGGCCCCTATAGTTTAAGGTATATTCCTTAATTAAGGGGTATTGGGCTCTCTGGGAAGAGCCGGCTCCGATGTAGGGGGGAAGGTTTTTGAATGGGGCTTTGGGGGCTTACTGTAAGAGTACAGTGAGCACATGGGGACTATGAGCCAACCGGGACTTTCTGAACCGGAGCTTCTTAAAGGGAACTTCAGAAAGTTGGAATATGGAATAATGGCAGGATCCCCTATAATTTACCTTAAAGGGAATATGCTAATGATATTCCAACTTTCTGGCTTCTTGTCCTAATTGGGTTATGCTAGGTGCAATAATGTCAATCAGAGGGGGTGTTTAGCCCAAATCGACCTCGACCCTGAAGAACTTAATTTTTCGGGCCCCTTCTTCGTATGATTTCCTTAAATGAGACAACTTTGGGGGGGCTGGGCTGACACGGCGCCCCTTCTCAGAAGCAAAATTGGGAAAACATGCTTCTGAGAAGGTTCTCTGTTTTCATTCGCAAATGCAAAACGGTTTCAAGGCCCAACATGTTCAGCATGAACATACGTGTCAAGAAGTTAGGGAATATACCATGTTGCTATTTAGCACAAGTTCGTGGGAAGTGACATAAGCATGTTTTGATGGGTCTAGGAATCTGACGGTGTGCAAAATGAACTAAAACTGGTAGAAAAACAGTCCTGCAAAACATAAATCTGAGAAAACCTGGTTCGTGGGTGGTATAATACGAAGTGTTTTAAATCAATGATGGTTCCTGAGGAAAAAGGAAATCTGTATATAAGTCCAAAATGTGCAAAACAAATAGAAGACAAACATCCCAGAAACAGGCAGCAGTAAGCAGTAGAGGCAGAACAGCAAACATGAGTCAGAGGAGGAAGCCAAGAGAGGACAGGACCGGACAATCTGCCCCTAAGCCCTTAGCCCCCAACATGCCCAACCTAGGTCGTCAACCCTAGCCAGCCTGAGGCATCATTTTCATAATTAGTTTAAGACTAAGTCCTCAACCCCTAAATTGTTTAAATGAAATCATATCCCAGGACTCAGCCCCCCTGGACTCGAATATAATATGCTGAAGCCCATTTGCGGTTAATATTAATGTTAGTTAGTTTGTTTGTTTGCTTGTTTGTTTGTCTGTTAGTTAGTTATGATGGCTTATGAGGACTCTTGACGAACCGAAACGGACGAATAATGACGACGAGACGAGGATGACGATGACTCCGTCCATCGCGAGGATGCTGTCAGCCACCGGACCTCAGGGACAGCTAAGCACAGAGATGCAGGTCAGTCAGACAGACAGGTCGAATGAAAATTTCGGCAAGCCACTGAGCTGTTGTTCCAGGTGGATGACCAACATGTCGTGGCCTGGCAGGGTCTTATATTATAAGATGAATCGGATGAGACTCATAATTAGACTCACACACTCGCACTCACTCGGCTGATGATCATTTTGGTCGAGGCCCCTCATTTGAGTGATTCGCCAGGAGTCCGGGAGTCTCTCTGAGATGATCTGTGCTGCATAGACTGGTGAACTTGGAAGTATGTTATCTTAGTATTTTGTCTCATTCAAGTTTTGATATTTAATATCAATTACCATTATTTTTGTTTAAAAATTTATTAATTATTATAATTATTTACAGTGAGATACTAGGGAGACTCCCCCTCCTGTTCCCGGGTCTCCGGGTGCATCCCGGGACGACACGTCCCTCTGTGCATCCTGGGACGACTCGTCCCTGACCATCTCCTCAGTCCTCATCCTCATCGTCAACATCCACGACCACCGGGGGCCCCTGCCCCCGCGGGTGGGACGACAAGCCCCTGCCCATCTCCATGATCCGGGCCATGACTCGCACCGTCTCAGTGGGCCTGTGATAACCTCCCGACGACGAGGAGGACGGCTGGAGCGACTGCCCCCCCTGGAGCGACGGCTCCCCCTGCTGGACCCCTGAGGACGACGGCTGGAGCGACTGCTCCCGGAGCGACTGCTCCCGGAGCGACTGCTCCCGGAGCGACTGCTCCCCCTGCTGCTGCTCGTCCTCGGGCGCCTCGTCAGGGAGATCCTCCACCGCCATCGCAAGCACACTGGTCGCAATCGTGGAGGAATCCTCCAGCAAAGCCAGACAGGCAGCAACTGCTGCCCGACAGTCTGTGCCTCCCATCTCCAGAAACTTCCGGAGCCTGTGCATGGCATCCTTGCCCTTCTGCAACAGGTAAGTCGCCGGGAAAGCATTCCAGCGTGTGTTTCTGGTGCAAGTCGCCCAGAAACTGTCTCCCCGGCTCTGGGGCACCTGCCCCACTGCACCAACTCCTCGGGTGAACTTCACCCGCGAATCCGGGGGCGGAAGGGGGCCACTGCCCCCTGGCCCCCATCCATCGCTCCCAATAGCATCGGAGAGCGTGGCGGCCGTGTCGATCACCTCCAGGACGCAACTGCGCCCAATGTAACTGGGCAGGTGCTGCAGC